TGGCCTGACAAACCTGTTGCTCCAAACCGCTTCGAATGTGACCCCCGCACACGCACACAAAATTGGCCTCCTTGTGCGGGACTTGCACAGAGCGAGTTCCTGAGAAAGCCCCTGGGTCCGTTCAGTATGGTTGCCTCGCTCCGTGCGCTCCGTGCCCGCCCCGTGAAGTTCGAGAAGGGCCCTTGTTGCACTTTCCTTGTGCGAACCGTTCTTGAAGAACCGGGACATGGCAGCCATGGAGAGGCCTGTACCTTTAAGGGAGTTTGGCCGATGGCCAGTGAAAAACCTGGACGGTTTTCTCCTTCTCTTCCACCACCCCAGCCCAACTCCAAGAAGTTTGTTCTCCGTTTCTGCATATTGTCATTTTGCATCTGTAAAGGGTTCCGTTGGTGCTGGAAGGGGAGGACGAGACCACTTCTTCACCCCTCCTCCCCTCGGTGCCCCTTTGATGCTCTTAAGGCTCCATGTTGAAGCGGTTGTGTGTGTGTTTGTTTTTAATTGTCAATTGTATGCTAAATTAGTTACAGTCGCGGGGTCAACTAGAGTTCAGTTCCACCTAGGAACGAATCGCTTTCTTTTCGGGGGTGGGGGAGATGCTCGGGTAGCCTGAGCAAACGTCTCGGGATTTTTGTTTGATTTGGGATAATGCTGTGGCGAGAAAGGACAATCTTTGTCTTCTACCTCCAGGCGCTTGAGCGTATGAGTGGCTTGCCTTGTTTAAAAACTGAAGCTCATAAAATCTGGGAATGCCTGGCCTCCTTTCCTTAACCTCTCCGCCCCCCGCGAAAAGCCCTCCAGGGCAAGGTGGGGTGCGATCGTTCTTGGCCAGGCATTGGTTCGAAAGCTGTCGAGCCGCCCGTCTCTGCAATTGTTTCTGCGTTTTACAGCCCCCCAGAGCCGAGGGGGCTCGCAGTCTGCATGCCTACTTAGCCAAGGTAGAGCTAGCATAAAAACAGCAGCCATAAAACCAGATGCCCTAACAGGCTTTCCAGACCCCCTGTATATGGGGAGGGGAGGGGAGGGGGAGGGCGGGATCTGTAGAGGAGCTCCTTTTCTTCAGCGCTGCAGACTCGATGCGAGGCCGCCTTTGAGAGGGGCTCGTTGCGAAGTTTAAAATGGTTCTGACCTAAGTGCCTTCAGGGCAGCCCGATTCGAGCGCTCCCCTGGCATTTGGAAAGAGCGCAAATAACCAGGAGCGACTCGGGGGCGGCGGACCCTTCCTTGCCCCCCCCCCCAGGCTGGTCTTCGATCTAGATCAGGCTCTCGAACAATTCCAATAAGTAATGAATATAACGGCGGGTGGGGGGGGGGGGGGGCGGAGATGGGCGACTCGTTCTCTAGCTTCAATTTTGGGGCCTCGTTTCGTGGCTGAGGCTGCCCCCTGTTGGCGAAGGCTCAGAATGGCCTTTGCTCGAAGCGCAGCCGGCGGCGCTGAACCAGGCAGCTCTTCGGAGTTTTGCTTGAAATAGCTGTCGTCGGTATTGCACCCCGGCGACCCGTTTTCCCTCGCCAGCATTTAGAGCCGGCTGAGTTAATGTCGCAAATGAATCGGTGTTCTCAGAAACTCGCCGAGCTGCAGTCGCGTCCTGGAAGGGTCTCCCTAGGGGCCGGCGCGGGTTCTGCGCGCGGGGGACCGTGACGGGGCCCCGTTCCGAAGAACTTCGGCGAGGCCTGTGGACTTCGAAGAGGAGTCCGGGGCGGTCACGACGGCAACCGAAACGGAGCTCGCTGCAGCGACTGCGCGGCTGGGGGTGGGAAGGGGACTACTGCCTCGAAGCCGCTAGTGCTGCATGATTCTCTCCACTGGGAATGTACCTTTGGAAAATAATTTTTCAAACCCCTTTCCTCCCATCCAATGGTGGACAGACTGCCTTGGAAAATCTGCTTCTCTCCACGATCTGGGCTGCCAAGATGGGCTGCCTTAGATTCCCTCCTTGCATCGCTTCTCCATGGACCACTTTGCTGCTCTCGGGTCGGGCAGCCTCCCCGCCTCGCGCCGGCGCTGCATCTCTGATGACGCACAGCCGTCGGGGAACAAGTGGGAGTTCAGAGAGGGGGCAAGGAGTTGCCACCTTGTTTAGACGGCTCTTTGAAGGCGTGCGAGCCGCTTGACGGACTTACCCAACTTGTTCCTCGCACTAACCCGTGAGGTAGGTCTCCGGGAGCCCCGTGAGGCAGGGGTTGGATGAGAAGAGGCCCGAGGCCTCACGGGCAACCTGTGGCAGAGCGGGTAGCTGCGACCTGGAGTCGCCCTTCCCGGTCATCTTCTCCTGCTTTGCCTTGACACGGGCCCCCACTGCGCATCCTCCTCGCCTACCACCTTGCCTGACGGTGGAGTGAGGGACGGCTCTCTGCTTCTCTCTCCTCCCCGCCGACCCAAATTTGCTGGAGCGTGGACGGCTTTATGGGGCATGAACTCCCCGCATTCCTCACGGGCGCTTCAGACTGCTGGGGAAATAAATCGGGCGCCGTCACTAGACGCGCAGCCCCCTCTGGTCTGTTCCCCCAAATTCCTGCAGCCTTGTGTAATGCCGGGTTTGGGGAGGCCGCCCTGCGTGGCGGAATTGGCCCTTGCTTCCCCCGGCTTGTGTGGCGCGCGCCAGACTCCGGCCTCTGGTCGTTTCGACTTTAAAAAGAGCGCACACGCAACTTTCACGCATGCCTACGGGGGCCAAGAAGGACGGCGGCTCACTCGGTGCGCCCCTGGAGCCAGGCTGCTTGTGGAGGCAGCAAAGGCCAGGCACGTCCCATGGCCTGAAGCGCAGTACGGGAGAGGGCCGGGTAGCTGGTCAGTCCTGCCGCCGCCGCCAGGTCGGTCGCCTCTTGGAAGGAAAGCTGCTTTCCTTTGAACGCGATCGCGGCCCTGCACAAGGCAAAGAGCTTGCGTGGGAAGCCTGGGGGCGCCGATCCACGCCGTTGGCGGGACCGACGCGCCTTCACAGGAGGACGCGCACCGCTCCAAAGTGCGCTGAGCCGCCCGACGCCCCTTCATCGACAGCTGCCGGCATCCTCAGACGGGCGCCTGAAGTGGACAGGACGGCTCGGGCCGGATGGTCAGTCCAGTGAAACTACGTCCTTGCAGAAACTGGCTAACTTTAGGCATCTCTTTGCGAGGGGCGGGGCGGGATTCTCTTTGCCAGCGTCTTCGTGTGTCTCATACTAGCCTTGTGAATCGGGCCAATAAAATGTCAATAGTGCAAAAGAACCAAAGTTTATGGCACTTGGACTTGCGGGTCGGTCGCACTGAACTCGATCGGGCTTTAGTCTCCGCTGTTCGACAGGGGATTGCTGCTTTTCCAGAGAGTGAATCGAATTTCTGGAGGGCTTTAAGCTCGCCCTGTGTTTCTGTTTATACCCGCCTTGAGAGTGGCGCACGTAGCCGGAGTTAAGCCCCTTTGGAAGGCACTGAAAATGATTGCGCCCCGTGTAAACTCTTCGACCCTCAAAAGTGGTAGTAGCGGTGTGGAGAGAGCAAGAAGCGCTGCACCCGCTTTGGCCGGCCTCAGCCCGCGTAGCTCCTTCACCCGAGAGTAGCTCCGCTTCCTGGGACGGATCCATGCGGGGCTTCGGAGGGTCGCGGGCGATCTGGAGCACAAGGGCGGCGCGCTCTCGGTGAAAGAAGGCCGCGGTCATCAAGCCGCGGGGCCTTTCCGAAGTCGTTCCCGGGAGATCCGTGCCTGGTTCGGGCGGAGCAACCGCTCCCCCGCCGCGGTCCGGGAAGCGGCGTTAGAAATCGCCCGGCTTCTTGGTTCCGAGGCAGGCGCTGCGAGGTGCGTGTCGCGGGACTTGCCAAGCACTCCGCGTAACGCTGGCGAGGGTCGAGGTGCCGTCCGACCCGCGTGGCCGCGGAGCCGCTGCGCGAGAAGCGAGGGTCTGTGACCCGCGTTGCGCGAGGGAGGGAGCGGGGAGCTGGTTTGGCGTGTCTCTCCCAGCCCAGTCGGGCTTGCCCACTTCCTCGCCCCGCCGACGAGCAAGGCAGGAGGCGTCCCGGGAAGTTTTCCGCGATCCCGTAAGCCCGTGGCTGAGGGCGAGCGGTACCCGCCGCGTGCGTGTGGAGGACGAGGCGAAAGGGAGCGGAGCATTTCGCGCCGGATCGCGGTGCCTGAGAGAGACCCTGTCCGGGGGGCTCTGCCAGGGCCGCTCCGTCCACTTGGCGCTGCGTTACTGCGCGGGGCGCGCTGGCCAGGTGAGGCCACCTGCCTTTTTTCCCGCACCCCACCTCGGCCGCCTCCCGACGGGCGGTCACGGAGCTCGGAGCCCCGCGGCGGCGGGGCAGTCCGGGGCGGGGGACCTGCGCCGCCTCGACCTCCTCTCCGCGTAGCGCTCTCCCGCCGCCCCCTCGCCGCCCTCTCCTGCCAGGGTGGCGGCGGCGGAGGGAAGCTTGCTCGCTGCCTCCCGGCGGAACACAGCTCCCGCTGCGGATGCCGCGCCCGCGACCCGCCGCTCGGGGCGGTGGGAGGACTCGGGGGCCCGAAGCGCGGCGGCGCAAGACGGGGATCGCCTTTCGTGGGGCGGCGGGTGAGGCTGCCCGCTTCCCTGCCTGGCCCCACCAGCAGGCCCGGCGCGCCCTCCGGCTGCTGCGCCCGCCCCGCTCGTCCTCGGCCCCGCGACGGGGCGGCCGCGCCCCGCGCCTGTGTGCGTGGGTGGGTGTGTGCGTGTGGCGGGGTGAGGAGAAGGCGGTTGGCAGTGGGGGGGACCCCGGGGGGCCGGGCGCTGCTTCACTCCCCTGCAGGATCGCGCCCGCGTGGGGTTTCCGCAGCCGCAGGGCTTTGTGCCGGGCGGTGGGTGCATCCACTTGGAGCAGCAGGCGCGGGCTTGGCCGCGGCACAAGGAACCCGCTGGGGAGCAGGGCCGCCGCCTCCCCCCACCCCGCCCCAAGCAGCCCGGGGCTGCGCTTTGTTCAACCTTTGCGATGGCCCGAGCCACGCAATAAAAAGTCCCTCCGCCAGTCTCTCTCTCTTTCTCTCTCACTCTCTCTCCTCTCTTCCCTCCCCTGTAGATGTCCATGCGAGCGCTGGTCCAAGGTGGAGCTTCGTGGACAGGGGCAATGACTTGCAAGTACCTCTTCTTGGGGCTCGCTGTCTTCTCGTCGCTTGTCCACGTTGTGATAGAAGCCAGCTCTTGGTGGTAAGCTTTTTCCTCCCTTCTGTTTAGAATGCAACTTCACATTTATCCTTTTTCCCTTTTTGGTTTTGGTGTTTTTGCAATGTCAGAATCTATCTAGTTTCCAAATGAACAAGGCCTAGATTGCTCCTGAAGGACGGGGTGGATCAACAGAAAACCCTGATCTGCAAATCTAAGACTGGCCCATTTTTTCCTGCCCTGTGAGGGACAGGATGGAATATAGCCATCACCCTGGATTTTAGGGTTCAGATCCTGATTTGGAATAATAAGTACTGTTAGGGCGAAGTAAAATATGGAGTTGTAAAGGGAGTGTCCACCTCATACCATCAGCGTAAGTGTGCAAAAGTGGGTGGCAGAACAACTCTCCAAGTATTGGGTTAGGCCGTGCTGTTGGAATTTGAAAAGCCGAGGTCGCTAAGGCTGTGGGACCCCAGGCACTCTTACCTGGGAGTCAGCTCCTTTGAACTTAAGGGGATTGCCATCTAGGTAAATGTGTACACAGCTGTGCTGTAAGTTCATCATTAAAAATAAGCTAGGCACATACTGAGTTTTTAAGACCTGCTGAATGAATAATACATTCATTTTGTATACAACTCTTCTGCAAGAAGAACTGTTTCATTGAAAGGCAACACCTGGGCACAGGCTCAGTTGGTAAGATACTGGATGAACAAGCTGTCTGATATGTAGATATACTTGGCAGCAATTCCCTGTAGTTAATTTAAAGTTGTTTTTCTCACAATGAAATCCGGATCAGTTGCATCTCTGTTTCCCCGTCTGTGTTCTATCCTGTGTTACACTTTATTGATCATCAAAATGAATTTTGTGGGGATACTTCTTCAGCTGTCAGTCTTGAATTCTTTAAAAATGATATGGTATGACATGGTATTTATTTATTCATTTATTTATTAAAAGCTTTTGTATGCCGTCCTATTATACAAGATCTCAGGATGGTATGATAGAAAATGGAGTGCCATCTGTCTGCCTTGAGCCTCAAAATGTTGTGGTGGATCATCTTGGTTTTTCCCTTCTCTTCCAATTTTTTTTTAAATATGTAGAAAGAGTATGAAATATGACGCTTAAGAGGGAGACATCCTGGAAGGGGGCAAACATCATATTTAGATAGCTGCATAATTCAGTGTCTGTCTTGATAACTTCATGCATGTGGTTTGCTTTAACTTTCCAAACCTTCAACAAAACTGAAAGCTTTTTGGCGTTTTCTTTCTGTGTTTTGCCATTATTTACCACACAGTAATAGGGCTTATTTCCCAGGAAATGTGTTCCAGGGCTGAGGTCCACATTTCTAGGACCCAAGTGCCATGTGCATCCACTTGCAGTGTGTTGAGCCTGTCCCTTTGTTAATGGAACACTTACTTGTATTTTCACAGGTCCCTGGGCATGAATCACATGAACCCTATGAATCCTGTTCAGATGCCAGAGGTGTACATAATCGGAGCTCAGCCCCTGTGCAGCCAACTGGCGGGGCTCTCTCAAGGACAAAAGAAGCTCTGCCACTTGTACCAGGACCACATGCAGTACATTGGCGAGGGCGCAAAGACAGGAATTAAGGAATGCCAGTATCAGTTCCGCCACAGAAGATGGAATTGTAGCACTGTGGATAATAACTCCGTTTTTGGCAGAGTCATGCAGATAGGTAGGAAGTGCCTGCAAGAGTGTATGTGTGGTATTTACATAATGATGCATGCTAGGAAGATGTGCCAAGTTTTTTATGTGCCGTTGAAACCTGTCAAGAAGGGGAAAAATTAAATTGCCTTTAGCCGAAGATGGTCCCTCTGTGAAGTCAGCAGGGCATGTGGGATTCCTGGCACTGTGGGAAGGGAAGAGCACTGCAGTTCTTCTCTTGTCTTGCTGTGGGATGAAGGGAAGCCGTATCTACAGGTAAAGGGCTAGCGAGTGGAAATAAGTAGTGGTGTTGTGCTCACACAGTGTTGTTTTTATGTTCAGGATTGCAAAGTTGTGTAATGACTGAGTTTGCCTGCACAAATGCCCTCCATACCCGCCTTCTCCAGCCTGGAGCCCTCCAGATGTGTGGGACTACAATTCCCAGCATGCATGCCTATGGGACAATAGTCAAGGATGCTGGGAATCATAGTCTTAAAACATTTGGAGGGCAGCTGGCTGGGGAGGGTACCCGGCACACCATTATTTTTTCATGCAGTCCCCTCTCCCTTGCAGCCCTGTCCCATTCGTATTAATTCAGAAGTCATTCCTTCGATGTCCAATGGAGCTTACAGTGTGTTTGCAATGTAAATCTCTCTGCAAACTAAATAATTTGGTTTTCCAGGCACTTTCAAGTTAGACTTGAAATATGTTGGCACTTGTAGTCTGTATACTTTCACTGAGCCTGTAAGTACATATGTAGGTGTTACATGAATTTCAGTAATCATTAGCGTTAATTAAAAATGTTATCTTGTCACAATCTACCAGTCCCTACCTGCAGAGAATGTCTCTTCTCTTAGCTTTCATTTGACTATTCCCTTTTGCTGGAGAGCTCACATTGGCACAAACTCTCCCTTCACTCAATTTTTAAAAGTGCTGATTCCCTGAGTACAGGACTGGACTCAAATGCAGCATCTCTATAATGATTGATGGTTTACTTTCACTCCCACAATTATAATAATGACATCTGTACATCCAAAATTGTACCTCTGTTCTTCCCACCCACCCCTGAGTAAAACTCATAGCTTGCAAATAGTAGCATTTCAAAATGCTGGGATCTAAATCTAATTTTAAATTCCCCTTTTTGAAATGGGATAGGAAAGGATTGGAATGACTTTAAAATTAGATTAAAGGTAACTTCATTTATGAATTGAGTAGGCTTCTGCATTGCTTGAAGGGATGCTGTTAAGTCACATTTACCCCAGAAGTTAATTTTATGTAAAAATAAGCTTTTCAAAATCGCAGATTAAACCTTTTCCATGACTTCTTTTTTTAATGCACTAAGTGGAAACACTTGCCTTTTGAAGACTGAAGGATTCTTCTCCAGTCTTACATTATAGATGCTTAGGAAAGGGGAGGCATAGAATAAGTGGTTAGTTTGTCATTGCCATCTACTGAAAAGCAAACAAAAATAGAAGAGCAAAGGCCTGAAATTACTGAAACCTTAAGCATTGACTTCAGAAAACCTTAGTGCAGGTACAGCCAGGGCTTGAATATTGGTTCTCTGATGTTTGGTTGCCACAGTCTCTGTATGCAGCAATTTTCAACCCTAAGTGTTGGAGCGGGCCTTTCTTGGCTTCAGGCCTCTACTTCCTCCCTGTAACATATCTGCATTTATTTGATTTGATTTAGCAGGGTAATTGGCCACTTAGATTAACAGAAAATAGAAGTGAGTGTAATGTGTGTATCCAGCTCCTACAAGATCCTGAAAAGTGTATTCATTGAGAACAAGTATGTGTTGTCATTTCATAGTTGGGCCTAGTTTCCTTGAATAAACTATTTGATTGGCTGCTGTTTCTCTTGAATGGAGGACAAGATCCCTGTTCAAGTGCCTACTTTTTGCTGGACCCACTCAGCCATGTAGTGCTATAAATCTGTAATAGTGAACACCATAATGATAGACATGAACTAACTGATCCATGTCCCAGGATCTCCAGGAGCTCTGTGCTGACTAAACTAAACTTGGAGGAGTGATAAGGTAGTAGAGGTTTGTGCTACCCTAAATTCTGGCAGTTTATATAACATTTCAGGCTAATGCTAGTGCAAGTTAATCAGAGAACAGGAATTATTTTATTTTTTGAAAGCCACCCAGAGACTTTTAGTATTGGGGCAGCATATAAAAATCTTTATAAATAAGTCAGTCAGACAAACAGACAGACACTGACCTCTTTTCTGCTGGAATAGGAAATAATGACTGTTGCATCTGCCTATCTATCTGTTCCTATGGGTTGGTCATCCCAGACAATTCTAACCCTGATTCCTTAAAGCAATGCGTGCTTTGGCATGAACGTCAGTCAAATATGAATCAGAACTCGACGGTATTGCTAACTCAAGTAAAACATAGAACTTCCTTGATTTTGAACATCTTGCGAAGTGGGTTGCATAGTATTAAGGAATATTCTTGTACCCTTTTTGCCTGGAGGAAGAAAATAACAAATTGCAACAAACCAATGAATAATTCCTAAACAAACAAAACGTTGTCTGTCCCTTTACCTCCTAGGCTTGACAAAAACTTTACTGCCATGGCTATACACAGGGAATTGCTGCTGCTTGTTGAGAAAGTCCTTCAAAGTAATTGTATTTTACCATAGGTTTGAATAAGTTCTTGGAGTTGAGTAAAACTGAGGCTGCCCTCCTCTGCACAGTTTAGCCAAAATCCCACTGTATTCAATGATACATGAACAGTGAGCAGAATTGCAGTGATACACAATCTCTGCGCAGAATTGCAGCTGAAATATCTTTAGAAAGTGCTAGCGACTTCCTCTTAGTTGTTCTGAAGAATTACTTTCAAAATTGCATACGTGTAAGGAGAGACTGTCCCCTTGTTTCTTTTTGAAATATGAGCATTTTGATGAGAGGAAGCATGTTTTTGCGTAGCACAGGATGAAAACACCTACTAAATAAACCAGTATTTTTCTGGTAGCGAGATGTCTAATACCGTTGGAGTTCGTGAGACTTGCTTTGCAGATGCTTGCAAAGTCTAATGCTTCATTCAACAAAATGAATTTTACTACGCAGAATAAATTTGCTCAAAGTTCCCCCCCTCCCTTGCAAGTTGTTTCTTTTAGAAACGTATGCCTTTTTACATTTGTGTACATCTGCTCTCACTTGAAAGGATATATCTTAGGGTCCTTTTAAAATACACTTTTGAAGAAGAATCTAAATGTGGCTTTTCCCTATGACAGCAAAATCTATACAATAGTCATACGTATACAAAAGTGGAGTGGGAAAGCTGTGAACTTCACGATGAGTTTTACTTGAATAAGAATGACAGGGTTCTGCCAACTTTGTACTAGTTGCATTAAAGTTCAATCAAGTTTTCAGACAATAACCCATAGTGGTTTGGGGGTAAGTGCCCTCACAGGCACAAAGCTGACAGTACAGTCCTTTGCATATTTCCTCAGAAGTATATTCCATTGAGTTTAGGGAGACTTCTCTAAAAACGGGCAGGCCAGTAGAGCATAATGTTCTTCCAGTGTAGGTGGGTATGCGCATGGAGATTTTTCCTCTTTAAAATTATCGAGTGCTTGTAAGAACCTTCTTCTGTCTGATCTATTTCTACTTTCTGTAACATCAGATAGAAGCAATACTTTCAGGTACTGCAGCAAAGCTTTCCCCAAGTAGTCCTGAAGGTGAGGTGAATGTTTATAAATATCCAGACCCCGATGAAGCCTGGATTCTCTGAAAGGTGGCATCCTGGAGAAACAGTTCATTGTGATGATCAGGTTCTCAGAATTGTTTCTGAAGAACAAAATGCTCTGAGGTCCTGCACAGGATACCTTCAGCGCTGTTCGCCGGAAGCCACCGTTGTGAGAGGATGTGGGAGGTGGGGCAGCCATACTGTCAGTGCTCATTTATGGAGAGGCCTCCTTGGCTTTGCGACCACCTCCTCAGCTACTGTTTTCAATGGCTACAGGGAGTTGCATGATTTGGCCAAACTGGAGGGAATTGGAGGCTGTAGCATGTGGATTTAATTACGTTCCTATGGAATGAGATTTGTCTAGGGCAAATTGGATCCAGGTAATGCATTCACTAATGGGTTTTCCTTCAAGATATTCAGTGACTAGCTCACTTGATCTGCCATAGTCTCTTCTCTATCATCAAAGGCTCTCTTTAAAAAGCTGTTTCAAACCTTTTAACGTACAGCAGTTATGTGCAGAATTCTTTTCTCTAGAAGGCTGCAGCCATTTCTCTCTGTCAGCTTACAGAGCTGGTGGCCAGACGTGAAGCTTTTCCTCTGATACAGTCCATTCCCACTAGATTAATTAGCTTAGACACTTCAAGACAGTAGTTTACTTTTTAAGTATGCTCTTTCTAAAGGATTCTTGTGACATCTCCTTGGTCTGAGCTTTGTCCAATACCAAAAGCCTTGCAGAATTCTAAGGTCACATGTTATTGTTTACTTTTTTTGAAAATGCATTACTTGCGTGGGGCTTTTTTGGGGCGGGCATTATTTCAAGGCAATGCATCTTTTTCATCAATGAAAGAAATGAAGTATGGATGTCTGGGCCTGTAACACTGCGTCTGTCTTACTCCTTTTCCCCTTGCAGGCAGCCGGGAGACTGCCTTCACATACGCGGTCAGCGCAGCCGGGGTGGTTAATGCCATGAGCCGTGCCTGCCGAGAGGGGGAGCTTTCTTCCTGTGGCTGCAGCAGGGCTTCCAGGCCAAAAGATCTACCTCGGGACTGGCTATGGGGTGGCTGTGGGGACAACATTGACTATGGCTACCGCTTTGCCAAAGAGTTTGTGGATGCCCGCGAACGAGAGCGAATATACCAGAAAGGATCTTACGAGAGTGCAAGGATCTTGATGAACCTACATAACAACGAGGCTGGGAGGAGGGTAAGTAGGGCTTTTCCATGGTTAATTCTTACCATGAGGCCAAACTGTTCTTGCTGCTGCATCATTCCCAAGCTTCATTTTTCATTAGTATGTATGAGTCCGTGCATGCTTGTCTTTCGTAAGATAGATTTCCTTTGGAATTAGTTTCCTTGTGAAACCTGCTGAGTGAGCTCAGAAAAATTTCTCATTCCGTTGTTGTTGTTGCAGAGAGAGGTGCAATGCTTTTCTTTAGATCAAGATGGAAAACGTGAACTTTTGAAGCAACTTGTGGCCTTCCAGATGTTGCTGGACTTCCAGTTCCATCAGTCTCAGCCAACCTGGCCAATGAGAGAGATAATGGGAGTTGTAGTCCAGCAATATCTGTAAGGCTGCTAGTTGCTTGCCCCTAATTGAAATGAGAGGGTACAGAAGGACCTTAGAACTAAGTGTAATGCAAGGTAACTTCCTTCCCCTTCCTGCCACACACACTACTAGTTTGTTCAAGCAAAACTGTACAAGTCACAGTGAATTTTCTGCAGAACAGAATTTTATTAGTTTATCTTTCCAACCAATTCAGGTTTTTTTGGAAAGGACAAAAGAAGCACCGTATTTTCTGGAGTGAAATGTTTTTGCGTGGGAGCTATTTTCATTCTTCCTTGTAAGGTTGTGAAAAAAACCCCATCTTCTCTGTATTATTATAAAACATGCTCTTCTGTAGTCAAAGTTGGTTTTTATGGCTTTTTTTTAATCTTCAAAATCTTTTAAATGAATGAGTGTAAACTTCATTTTATTGCCCTGAAGTGGATGGAGCCAAAGTCATTATTTTCCTAGAACTGACGGTGCCAGAAGTAGTCGGCTGGAGACTTTACACTTGTGTTTCTAGGTGAATTAAGATGAAGGATAATTGAAAATTAATAGCATTTAAATGTGAGAAGAAGGCATCTGAAAGCACTGGAAAGGCCAATTTGCTGCTCGACAGAAGAAAAATGACTGCTCACAGTTGCCTGCGCTGGCTCGGAGTGGCTCGCTGCTACCACCCCCTTTGAGCGGCCTTCCTGCAATGGCATTTGGCAGCGTTCACGCTCACCACCCCACTTTTTTAATGCTGGGTGGAAGTGGCCTTCAGCATCCACCTAATGTGTCAGACCCCAGGATTTCTGGGGCTGTGTCAACACTGACTCATGTCTATTTATACACGGTAAATTATCAAGGTCTCGTTGCCAAGGCTTCACAAAGAGGATATTGCGGTGTTGGGTCTGTCCCCCACCCAGAGGTGTTTGGGGGTTTTCTCTTGTGGATGGAGTCACTCTGTTGCGCATGGAGATTGGTGTGGGAGGGAGCTGCAGAACGGAAAATTGCAGTAGGAGCAGCACATCTTTCCAGTGCGAGGGTGGGAGAGAGAGAAGCAGGAACGCCAGTGCAGATCTGGTGTATGCAAGCCCATCAACAGACCAGTCAGCTATTTTTGAACCATTATTTCTCTTTGCAAAGGATGTAGATAAATTCAGCTTGGATATATGATATATGTGTTTTATCCTAACTGGGATTCCAGGGTTGCCCATGGGGTTCCCCTTTTTTGGCATATGCCCTCTGTTACTTGCATCTGCTCTTCCAAGCCACAATCCTATGCAAGGTTAAAGAGAAAAAGGCATAAAACTCCCAGCAAGTTTTCCCCTCTGGTGGGGGAAACCAGCACCAAGGCATGCAGAGTCTCTCCCAGCTTTGCCTTTAAGGACGCAGGCCTAAACAGTCTTAGTAAGCTCATTCAACACAGCGGCATTTGCCCCTGAGAAAACATGTACAGGACCGCACTGCTGATTCTGCTTCCGCCTCATCCTGCAGGCTGGCTGGCTGGCTCACACCTTTTTCGATGCACGCTGCTTCTTTTAAACATCTCGTTTGGCTCAGCAGGGCTGGCGCTGAATTTGGCTTCAAGCTCAGCTTGCTGAGCCAGCCTGGCATCGTGAGAGAGGAGCAGGGGCTCGCTTGCTGTCACAGCCCTGAGCCAGGAGGTGGCGCTGGAGGTGGGAAATGCCTGTGGGCGCCCCATTGCTGCCTGCTGGTCAGCTTGTCCCCAAGGCAGGGATAGTCTTCTGCTCACTCGTCGTGCCCATCCACTCGGCAGCGGCTGCTTGCAACCTGTTGGCTGCATCACCTTCCACCGCAGCCTTCCACTTTTTCTTTGACTGATCCCATTTATAGTTACTTATTAAATTTCTGCACTGCTGAAGTTCTCTGGCAGGGTCACTACAGTACAGAGCAGGACCATGATACAATCACACAACAGTAAAAAATGTTTCCTGATACAACATTTTAAAATAGTTTATTTTTAAAATGTGCATTAGCATGAGACAGTGTTTAATAACAGACCGGTTTGTTTACTATTCAATTTGAGAGGGAAAATGGCTTTGGAAAGAAATTCAGAGCAGAAGAACGCTTTGGAAGAACGTGCCTGAGTCGGGGTTCTTGTACTTACCTTAGTTATCAGAAGACCAAGGAATGCTCATGAATGTCCTGCCTTGCATTGTACAATTGCCTCTTGCAGCATGTAGGCTGAAACATCCTTGGCTTTCTACACTCCCATAAAAGCTCAGGGATACCTCTTCTGTCATGAGTTACCTTCTCCCATAGGGCTTCTCAGATCAGGAAGCAATAGGCAGCCAGAGATGCCATAAAGCAACAGAGAGATGCAACATGGAAACGAAACAGCTCACAAACAGCCCCAACAGAAACTCAGACTGAGCTATAAAGTGTCCAAGAGTGAGGCAGAATAATGGAAGCCCCTTTCACGAGGGAAGAACACGTGCAGGAAATGGGAGGACCTGCTTTGGCATGGCACGGGCTCCTCCAGCTAGATACGGCACCATTCCCCTTGCCCCTGCCTTGGCCCGGGCTGCCAACCCAGCTGATGCTGTCGTCACTTGCAGTGGCAATGCAAAAAACAGAAAGCCCTGGGGGAAAGGGCAGAAGCGCTGTCTCAACCCCTGCCAGTGGTGAGCTCTGCCTGTGAGAACAGGTTGTAGAATTTCTCCTCTTGGAGAAATAGAGTGGAGTAATTCTGGAGGCCATTTGTGCAGTAATCTCAGCTTGCCTAGTCTAGGCCGCCAGGCTAACTAGAGGCATCCCAAACAAGGAAGGGGAACGGGGAATGAGGTGTTTCCAGGGGTGCCCCTGGGGGATGATGTTCATGGCTACAGCATCCCGAGGCAGTAGCAGGGGCCGCAGCAGACAACATGGGCATGCCAGGGCCCCCTGGGGCTGAGGTAGCTGTTGCAGCTCCCCCCCCCTTCCTCCTCTAACATTTTATAGATGAGGGTGGTTAGATTGACTGGCCAGGTATGTGCAGGATTATAAGTGCTGCTTTTAATTTTTTATGCATGCACGTGTGCTATCTGTTTCTATAACAAAATTGTGTGTATTCCCAAGGAAACATGTTTAGCATCAGGACACCAGAAGCAAGCTCCCCTTTATTCCTGTCATATTAAGTGAGTTTTAAATGTAAAACTATACGTGCTCAGAGCATTTCTTTGCCTCTTCCGTCGTTTAAATTATGATGGGCAATCTCCCCCGTCCCCCAGCTTCTTTTCATTTCATTCATTACATTTCTACAGCACCAAATAGTCAAAGCTGTTTGGGAGACAAATGAGGAATGTGGAAGCAATTGTAAAACGTGGAATGATGGTGTCAGGAGAATGGAGTGATGCTCTTTATGTGCTTCACAACCAAAGTGCACCTCTGCAAGACCATTCAAGGCTCAAGACTGTGTCTGCTTGGACAGAAAAAGTCCTTCAACTCCCAGCATCCTCCGGCCAGCTTGGCTGGCCAAGGGATGCTGAGAACTGTAGGGCTCTTTTATGTGTAAACATACATAGGATTGCACCCTGAGTCTCTGGCTACACTGCTGGTTGCCCTGAGAAAGGAGGGAATGTGTGAGCTTGCAACATACATAGTGTCCAACCACTTTACTTAGTTTAGTTAAAGCATTTATATACTGCAGTGTGTTTCAGAGACATTCCCAATCATAACAGAACAAGAATGAAAAGTATATCTATCAATTAAGAATGCTTTTAGTGAACCGAAAGCAACAATTGGCAACTTCAAACAAGAACAAGTCAGGCCGTTAAGTGTCTTATCCTTTGGGAAATCAGCACAGAAAAGGCATCATAGGTTTCCATTCCCCTCCAGAAGGAAGGGAGGTAGCATGCTGGCTCGATCTCAATGGGAAAGGAATGCAACAGGCTTAGAGGGCACCAGTGAAAAGGACCAACCCACGTGAACTAGGCCTGGCTGTGTGCGGTCAGCCTGAAGGGCCGTGCTCTAGCACATGTTTCCAGAAACCGTTGTGCTAATGACAGTCTAGCAGAGTGCAAGCTCTTCACCACCAGCATGACATTCTGGGGTCAAATGGGCACTGGAGTTGTCCTGCTTGCAAGTTGTCCTCGCTTATTCCTTTTTCCAGGGGAAGGAGATTGGTGTGTGGACAGGGACCACACTTGGTGTGCATAGCAGATCAAGGTGTTTTCCTGCTACAGCGTTTGGTGGATTCACCAGCCATGAAAGTCCATGACTTAGAGACCATTATCAGGTTGTTGAATGCCAGCCTGGTAAGAAGATCATCCTCCTTCCAGCCAGCAGGGCCAGTGTCAATGCCTGGCACCCTTGAGCGGTTGTCCAGACAGAGCCTACTGCCGGTGCCTGCCCTGAGCCTCCCTTAATTTTCTGACCAAGGGTGGATGTAGCCATCCTTTTTCGGTTCCCCAGTACCCCTGGCCTGCTGTAGCATTGCCTTCACAGGTAGACGAACTCCTCCAGTGTTTACTGGCAGTGGAAGGGGCCCACGGAGGGGCCAGGACTCAGGCTTCCCCCAACCCCAGAGCTGGCCTTGCCAGCCACTGTACATGCTACAGCCAAAAAATGGAGCCATTCTAATAACTCCATGCTGTGGCCATGAGCATATGGAAAGCGGTGTATATACAAATGCAGCTAAATTAGGGATGGTGTAAGGAGCAAACCCAGAGCAGTGTTCCACGTAGGCCAGTGGTGTTGATGCCTGTAATCCTTTTCTCGAACGACACCATGGGCGCTTCCGCATGCAAAGCAGGTGGACCGCTGCTGGGTTACTGACCCTCTCTTGTCCGTGCCAGCCCACTGGCATGATGGGGAAGCAGACGCACGTGACTCCAGTGAAGGGGGGAAATCGTCCAGATCATGTGGTGAGCCACTGTATGCAAACGGCTTTCCAGGGAGTAATTTATAGCAGCCTCCATGTGGTGGCAACACCATGTCTGAGAACTTTAGGAAGATTGCAAAATAAACAAGAGTCTGTTTCAATTTAAACATGACAGTTATGCTTATTTATTTATTTTGGCAATTTCTAGGCTACTTTTCAATGTTGTCCCCATGGCTGGTGAAGGTAATGCATTCTCAGTAACTAATATCCTACAGGGATGTTTTCCCCACTGATCAGAGAGATAAAAGCCAGACTAACTTCTGTTTCTATTATTTTCATATGTGTGTGTTGCATTATTTTTTATTCTAAAGGTTAAGTAAGCCCCGTAAACAAAGAAACAAAGAGATGTCACACATTGACAGGCAAATCTGTCAGAAGTTCATCTTTTGTGTGCTGGACATCCTCCATTTGGCATTTTGTGACAGCTGACAGTTTAAAACAGGTGGAACTTTTCATAGAGATAATGGAGGAAGGTAAAGCCAATATGAATCATCCTTCACAATAAGAACCATTTTGATGGATGCCAACAGCACATTCCAAAGCATGAATTTATCTTTAAAAAGTTACAATATAGAGCCAAGAGCAGACATGCCATAATTGAAATAGACTAGTTTTTACAGACTGTCAAGAGAACTTTAGCTAGTTGGCATTATAGACATGGAATGAATGAACGACTGAATGAATATATTTGTTTAGCTGAAGCTGTCCTCTGAAGATAGAATCCTATGCAAGCTTGAATAGAAAAAGGCCTATCACTCCCAGCATCCCCAGCCACCTATTCTGATCGGGCATAGTTCTGTGGGGTTGCCCATAACTCTCCAGATTCAGAAGGACAATCAGTGGATGATAGGAGGAATGCGGAGGCTAAGTTTGCCTGCATGTTTGCCTCACCCTCGAAGATGTTCAGATGGCTTATGTTGGACACGTAAATGTTTTCTCTTTCCTCATGAGGAGGAGAGATTGAGGCACTGCCTGGACTTGATGGACAGTGGTGGTGACTCATTCTTCCCCTTCCCCTTTGTCCTGCCACAAGGGACCCTCTTCTTGGGTACAGATGGTGCAGAAAGGGTTGGGCTGACTGAGGGCAGAGAGGCCCTTTGGAGGCGGAGTCCCTGCTATGGCCTTGGAAGGGACTTTGCCTTTTGTGTGGCTGGCCAGCCAGGGTCTCTTGGCCATGGAGTGGCTTTTGAGAGAGGAGTGTTTCTTAAGAGCTGCACTCACCGTCTCCCACTTTCTGCCTCCTACAGACGGTATATAGCTTAGCCGATGTGGCCTGCAAATGTCACGGTGTGTCTGGATCTTGCAGCTTGAAGACCTGTTGGCTGCAGCTGGCTGACTTTCGCAAGGTCGGCGATGCTCTGAAGGAGAAATACGACAGTGCTGCGGCGATGAAACTCAACACCCGGGGCAAGCTGGTCCAGGTCAACAGCCGCTTCAACCCCCCCACCATCCACGATCTGGTGTACATCGACCCCAGCCCTGATTACTGTGTGCGCAACGAGAGCACCGGCTCGTTGGGGACCCAGGGCCGGCTCTGCAACAAGACCTCGGAAGGCATGGGCGGCTGTGAACTGATGTGCTGCGGCCGAGGCTACGACCAGTTCAAGACGGTGCAGACAGAGCGTTGCCACTGCAAGTTCCACTGGTGCTGCTACGTGAAATGCAAGAAGTGCACAGAGATCGTGGACCAGTTTGTCTGCAAATAGGTGGGGATGTGGGGGAGGAGCTGTTCTGCTCGACCAGCAGGAGCGAAATTGCCCCAGAAGGTCTCCGCTCTTATTTATAGAGCCCGGTGGGGTGCTTTTCTTGTTTATATATGAAAAACAGAATCTTTTGCAAAGAGAAATGATGGGAAACCTTGCTGCCTCCAGCTCAGACTGTGCATAGTTTTATATATATATTTTTTTGCAATAATGGGGGAGAACCTGAGAGAATATTTATTTTACACAATTGGAATTAAGACTTTAAAAAAGAGAGAGAGAGAGAAAGTAGGTCAAAGGGAAATCCACCCTATCCCCATATAGTCTCACAGGACATAGTACATATGCAGTAGATGAGGTATCCGTGTTACATGCTTTGGATCGGAGCATGATCCATGCGGACTTGGTGACATACAGATCTGTGCATGATACTTCTTCTTAAGTCTAGTGACCAAAAAGAATCAAAGCAGTTGGATACAGCATTGTTTTTGTATCAATCAGGTTTAGTGTGTATCAATCAGGTTTAGTGTGAATCTTCCCCACGTGGAAACGTAGAAGGTCTGGGTGAAAACATACATTCCTGAAAGGCACAGCTGTGCTACTAGGTAACGTCAGAAAGCCCATTTGTTTAACTTGGCATTTTCCATCTCTGCTTGGACTACCTGTGAATATGCACTGGGGGAAAGATGCCAACGAGTTTTAGCACAGGGAGATGCAGTTCTCTCATCATCATCACTCAAGCAGTGCATTCTCTCATGAGTATCGGTAGAAAGACAAAAATGTTTTCTTTGAATGGGTTAAGAACCATTCTTGCCTACAATAAGTAGCAAACCCAAGAGGAAGCAATTCCAACTTTGGCTGCACAGCATAGATCAAAGCAGAATTTGGAACATTGCCACTTCCAGTAAAATATGCATATCTCAAGTTATGCACATTTAGAAAGCCTTACTGCCTTACTTTAAAAGAATGGTAAAAAAAAGAAAAAACCTATCTGTGGAATTTCCTAAAGGTGTGTGTGCTAGTTTGTCTGTGCTGGAAACTGCAGCTGTAGCATTCATGCAGTTTGCATGAACTTTCCTTAAAAATAAAAAAAAAACTCATTTGAAAAGCAATCCTTTAATTTTAAAGTGCTGTGAGTTGTTAGTTGCGAGTCAGAAGGGTCCTCCTGGGCCATCTAGTCTGACCCTCGGTTCTGCTCACGACATGCTTCCCATGTGCATGTCCAGCCTATCCTTGAACGTCCTCACCGATGGGGCCTCAGCCACCTCTTATCTTCCAGCAAAATTTAGTGACAGCTTTTCCTGCATGCCCTCCGTGCTGGTTGTGTTTGTGAGTTATGAATATGGAAAGCTTAATGCATACATTTATGAGAGTTTGGAATCTCTTTCTGCAAGGTTGCTATGGCTAATAATGGAAACAAAGACACATTTCTGACACAAATGATGTCCCAATTTCAAGGTAAAAAAAGATGAATTCTTCTTTCCTCGCCACAAACTCAGCACATTCTTTAATTGTTTTCCTGACCTCACCCCAGATTTATGCTGCCCAATAAATATAAGCCGACTGGATTGGAAGGAATGCCAGGCCTCCAACTTAGTATTACCATACTAGAAACTTTAATTTCTCACAAGCCTATGAGCTGTCTCATTAATGCTGTCATGATAACCAGCTTTTACAATGATGATTGCTCTTAATTTATTGTGCAAGGAAATATCTACTTCCCTGGTTTCTGGTGTTTGCAAACTAATGTCAACTTTTAAAAAATAAAGCACTAGTTTATTGAATATGTCACTTTTGGTTTTTATTATACAAAAACCATAATCCTTAAATTTTTGAATCATTTATTCTTTATAGTGACTCTTCTCTATGAACAGAGAGGAGTCTAATGATCCTAGCTATTAAAATGCTATTTAATGTAAAATATTTCACTTGCGTTCTTCAGATACTATGTAAATCTACTATGTCCTCATCTTTGTTCTGTACATTTAATGTACATATTTTCATCTTGTGTGATTTGTATATTTCACTGGTTTTTACAAAAAAAAAAGGCTTATGCCATAATGGAAGATAGACTATAAAAATAAAATGTTGGTTATATATATTTGGAGGTAGTTTAAATTTCTTTTAGAGTGGGGTGTTAATCAAATACTCACTGTGGATATTTAAAAAAAATGTTACAGTAAAATGGAGAAGTAGCACTCAACTTGCTTCTTAAAATAATATCAGCAGAAAAAGTATTATATTAGATATTATATCTTGAGAAGTTATTCTCAAGAATAGTGGAACCCTGCATGTGCTATGAAATTCTACTGGAATCCTGAGAATTCCAAGCATTCACTTTTCGTAAACACTTTCCTTTGACACATGTATGTCTCCTTCACTGTGTAGGAAACCATGTGCCAGGCAGAGTTTTGCCTTTGCAATTTTCCCCCTGCCTGCAGGAAGGGCTTTTCTCTGAAAAAGTTAAAACAGCGATCAATTCAGTGGGAAACAGTTGCTGGATCAGCATCCTTTCTCCTGTGGAACAACCAGTGGTTGCAGGTTTGTTTTGTACTTGTTGCACAGGATGTCTTCAGTTTCCAAGCTGCATTTTGATCTGGAAAAGAGAGAAGTCAGTAGGAGGTAGAGGGGAGGGAGAAGGAAAGAAGGCTAGCTTCCATCGTTTCCCATGATTTATAAGGTCAAACCAAAATGGGCCAGGACTCCTCAATAAACAGCTTGGCGCTCTTGTGTTAACAATTATCAAAGTTGGAAATGTTAACCCCACCGCCCCAAAGCCACCAAAAGTAGAAGGCCAAAAAAAAAAAAAATGTTGACCTTTCTGCAGGTATATGGGTTCAGGTGTGTTAGCATCTTGAGTGGGCCAGGAGACAGGGATGTTTATTCCTCTCAGCACCCAAGATGAACAGGTAGCACTGAAAATGCTGGCAGTCAATGAAATAGTCATTTGCATTTCACCATCTTATTGTTTCTTTGGGTTCATCTACTCACATTCATATTTTCCAACACTTGTTTTTAAAAAGCAGCAACATTAAATGAATTCAGTATCTTGTATGCAACATTAAGAATGTAGTTAACTCAGGACTGAAAATTCAGAAATTATGTATGAATCAGTCTTGCATTTTTCAAAGTAGTAGAACTGTTACCTTACCTAATATTATACAGCAAAGGTTGACTTGAAAGAAGGATCTGCTGAACCAGTGTCTATCCTGGAAAGTGGAGTATATGACAAAGTTAAATAATCCTTCCTGAGAAAACCATGATGAATACTTAGAAGCAAAGAAGATTTTACTGGATCAAAAGGGATATATTAAAATGCACCAAGAGCGACTTGGTCCTCCTCACATTTGATTTCTTGAAATCTCTGCCACATCAGCACATCAGATAGATTAGCTGCTTTTTCTTAGGGGTTAGCCTAATGTACTGAAACCCTTGTTGGGTGCCAAGAATGTATTATGCCACAAAACAGAAGATCAACATGTAGTATGCTTTAAAATAGCACTTCTGGGTAAATGCAATTTCTGTGGTCTGATTACTCACATCTGGTTCCGTTTTTCTTCACTTGTATATTGACCAGTGTTCTTTATTGCAAAAATGCCGACCTCTAGTTGTGTAGGTCAGCATTTCTGAGGGACTGGAGTGTGTTCAAATTCTTCTTTCCAATAACAGGGAAATTAGCAAATTTATATATTGGAAGCAGAAGCACGGCTGTGTTACAGTCAGAAAGGAGAGGATTTTAGATTTCAGTCAAGTTTATTGATGTTAGTTTTTTATAGCTTTCTGACCCTAACGGCAGGTCTATAATTTTTGAAGCATGTCTTCAAACCAAATAGAGATACATGGTCTTCATGTCAAATAATCTGTGCACACATTTTATCTATAGATCGCTGAATAACAGTAGGAAACATTCCTGTATAAAATACCATGGCATATTGCTAAAACCCAAGACCAGCCTTCCCCAACTGGTGCCTTCCAGATGTTTTTGTCTACAATTCCCAGCATGCTGCCTGGAACTTAGGGAAGTCAGAATCGAAAACATCTGGCGGGCACCAGCTTTGGAAAAACTGCCCAAGCTTATCTGAAGTTTACAGATGGCTCAAGGTCAGAATATGGCAGAATAACTAGCATATTGTTACCTGCCCTGAGCCCTTTGCATGAAGTGGCCTGTAAGTCCAATAAATAAATATTTGTCTAGATGGTAGATTAAAACTTAGAAGAATGTGGCTACTTGATTATCCCATGATAGGGACACAAATCAACAAAGCTGAAAATGTTCAAGTGCATTGAAATAGGAGGGAAGCTAAAGGCAGGCTTTTTTAGGAGCTCCTAGGGAAAAAGCTGGAAGGGAGCATCAAGGCATGCTTAGGGAAAAAATCCTCAACTCCTGGCATGCCCCAGCAAGCCATGCCCCTTCCAGGTGTTACAGTCTAACCATGTACAGAGCTTTTAATAAAAGCTGCATTTCCCCCAAAATAAAAATACTTTCAGAGTTGCAGTGTTTCTCACCATCACTTGTCTTGTTTCATTTTTCACAGTACTTTCAAATCCATTAAAAGGAAATGATAGATAGATAGATAGAAAAATTGGAAACCATCAGTCTTCTCCCTCTCCCACGATCATTCAGTCAAATTTACGAGATTATTCAAATGAATACAGTATGGAAAACATTTGTTATTGTTCCCCCACTACAAAATATCAAGACATTTCTTATTATCTTGCTGTTAAAATCAAGATTATTATCACTATTATTATAATTTCTATACCACCCAATAGCTAAAACTCTCTGGGCAGTTTACAACAATTCAGTGTGTGTGCAATCAGAAATGACGATGCTCTTACAACAGTTCTGCATCTCAATTTGAAAAGGTAGAGGTAGCCTTTTCTCATCTTTGGAATTAAGTGTCATGAGAAATCTCTCTTCCATGTTTCCCTCTCCAGCAGGTTTAGGCAAAACCTTAGACACACAGTCCTTTTGTTAAAAGGTAACAGGTTACAGAACAGCATAAATCAGAGTAGTGTTCTTGGAATGTGGGAAAAGCCTCTGCCCATGCGAAGAGCTGAACCACACTAAAATATGCCCCCCCCCCTTCAGAAAATCTTCTGCCTCCACCCTCAGTGTGGCTCCCGCTGCTTGAAGGCCAGATGGTGGGAGAGCTGGACATTTCTTGACTGGTCTGCTCACCTCTTGTTGTCTCCTGACAGGGTTGAAGAACTCCTCCTCCATCTCCTCCCCACTCTTGAACTCTTCCTTGCTTCTCTAAGGCAGGCCGGTTCTCATGTTCTATGTGCTTCCTTTGCTTAATAACCTCGGAACTGCATTGGTCTCTCTGTCTCCTCCTCTGAATCTGAAGAATCCATCTGAGGAGACCATAACCTGAGAGAGCTGGGCCCCTTCTCCACATTTAGTATACAACACGGTTGTATCTGCAGAAGCTGTTAGGAGCACAGAACTGTCAAAACCCCAAGTAACTCAGTAAGCTCCCCAGTTTTCACTGGTGCATCTTGGACAGGAAAAAGCCCTGCAACTCATTTGCTTTGTTCCCCTGGCCTGACCTTTCTGGGCCGCTGCTGCATAGGAACCCCCTGGAGTACATTCAAGCTGACAGCAACACCCCCAAGTGGTCCTGCATGTGTTGTTCCAGATTCTGAATTTCATGCTGTATATCGATGTTGCTAGAGAAGGTAATCCTCTGTCTGGTACAACACGCACAGTGCCTTTTGGCCTGTGTAGTTCCAAATCTTGCAGGGCAGATGCACAAATGCCTCCTTCCATGCACACATTTCACGTGTTAAACTGGAATAAAATGTGGAAACGGGCACCTTTAATTACATTTGCTTCTACTGGCCAAGTTCGAAGGAGGAGGAGGAGCAGCAGCCCCCGGAAAGGTTATATCTGCTTTCTTTCTTAACATGAGTTTGGGGACAGTGAACAGGTCTTTAGCATGATCCTTCGTATCTTGTTGTAGCCTCAAACCATACTGAAGGATGTGGCAGGCTGTGTGTTCAACCACAAGCCTGGTTTGCTCTGGCCAAATCCCCTGAAAAGTTGACTTCATCATGCATCAGCATGTTAAAAATAGCGTAAGAATTGCCCCCAAATTAAAAGCCAAGTCCGTGTGCTACTTAATCCAAGGCCCATGGAAGAGTGGGTGCTTAGAAAGCCTGAAATATTTTTCAGGGGCCAGTCAGTCCAGCAAAAAGCACCATTCGCTTGATCAAAGGCCATTCCCCGAAGCAGCAGACTGAAGGTTTTCTTAAATTTACAGCATCTTTAATTGGGAAGATACTTGGTTAGCTTTTTGGCATCGCCTCCTTGAAAGGCATTTGGAAATCCACTGTTCCAAGGAATGATGATCCCTCCATAACAGAGAGGAGTGTACCCGGAACAGGTGACTCGGAAAGGAGACCACCGTGTCTTTCTCAGGCATGTTTATAAAGGGGTTCGCACATGGCCACCCAAACCTTTGCGGCAGATGCTGTGCTTGCCTAGCCATTGCTGGTACTGCTGCCAAATCCCACTGAACTGATTTCAGTGTCTGAGTTGGATCCAGCGAGTCTTTTTATGTAAAGGAAGGGAAAGCCCTCTTGCATAATGGAAAAGAGGCTATGGCCTGAGGGCATAATCTGTAGCCACCTCGTAAAGGGCTGTGTTTAGTCTGCCTGGAGAGCAGGAGGCCTGAGAAGTCTAGGTAGGCCTGCTTTCGCTTCATTGCAAGGTTAAGATATTAATGTAATGAAGTATTCCAGTTCTCAGTGAATTTGCCTTTCTTTGCTACAGTACAGAGAGAGCTCAAGCTTCTTAACATCATTATCCTGTTTTTATCATACTGCACATTCCTGTGAAGAGATTCTAAGCGAAGAGTGACTGCCTGAGCAGAAATGTCCAAATTGGACACTATGTCATAGCACCACTTTGATTCTTCTTTAAAAGTCCTGCATTTAAACATTTTAAATGTGTGCTTCACAGTTTTAAAGGTTAGAATCGACTTAGGAGGTGGATATATGGAACCACCGGGGACATGCCATCTGATGACCTCTGTGACCTGTCGCGTTCGTAAAGGAGAAGGGGTTCTCCCAGCCACCCTGGTTTCAGGTTGTC